AAAGATTTGGAAAAGATTAGGAGATTTGGCCATAGGGTATAATGGGGAATCAATGAAATATCTATAACTTTGTTGTCTTTTGGCTGATTCAGATGAAACTTTCAGGGGTGGTAACCTCTGCTACCTTTCAGGGATGGTAGCCTTGAGCATGATGTGTGCCAAGTTTCAAGGTGATAGGTGTAGGGGTTTGGGGGAAACTGCACCTCACGCTGCAGACAAGCAAAATTTGTGACATGAATGACACTGTGTGTGTTAAGGCGCAGCCGGGTGAAAACTGCAGGCCTGCTAGCCCCTGTGGAGGCCACAAAGTCTGTCAGGTATCAAGGAGATAGGTGCAGGGGCTTCTGGGTTGTGGGGCTCTGCACCTCTAGCTGCTGACAGGCAAAACTCATGTCACGGGTACTTGTGGGACTGTGTCTGTTTTGGGGCATGGGATGGGGAACTACTGCAGGCCTGGCTGCTAAGCTACTGTGTTACCATTCAATCATGATTCACTCAGGGACCAGCTCAGTAGTCAATACACAGTAGCTAGCTACTAGATAACTAGTTAATGCGCAAGGATTAACACCTACAAACCCACAGACTAAGGTGAGGAAAGAACCAATACAGACAGTCAACTGCCCCAAGACAGAGACAGTCAGTTCCACAAGCACTGATATTACGAGTTTTGCCTGTCAGCAGCTAGGGGTGCAGGGCCCCAGAGCCCCTATCTCTTTAACAGCTGGCAGGCTTCATGGCCGCAGCAGGGCCTAGCAGTCAGGCCTGCAGTAGTTCCCCCCCACCCCCCGCCATGCCCCAAGTCAGACACAGTTGCACAAGCACCCATGTCATGAGTTTTGCCTGTCAGCAGCTAGAGGTGCAGGGCCCCAGAACCCGGAAACCCCTGACCCCATCTCCTCGACAGCTGGCAGGCTTTGTGGCTGCAGCAGGGGCTAGCAGGCCTGCAGCTTTCACCCTGCTGCACCTTAACATGTACAGTGTCACCCACATCACGAGTTTTGCTTGTCCGCAGCTTGAGGTGCACTTTCCCCCAAACCCCTGCACCTGTATCCTGGAAACTTGGCAGGCTTTGTGGCCTCACCAGGGGCTAGCATGCCTCCAGTTTTGACCCCACTGTGGCTTAACAGTTAACACATACATGTGACATGAGTTTTGCTTTCAAGAATTTAGGGTGCAGTTCCCCCCAAACCCCTACACCTATCTCCTTGAAACATGGCAGGCTTTGTGGCCTCAGCAGGGGCTACCACCCCTGCAGTTGTCACCCCACTGTAGCTTAACACACGTGACATAAGTTTTGCTTTCAGAACTTTGGGGTGCAGTTTCCCAGAAACCCCTGGACCTATCACCTTGAAACTTGGCATGTGTTATGCCCTCAGCAGAAGCTACCATCTCTGCAAGTTTCATCTGAATCAGCCAAAAGACAACACAGTTAGAGATATTTTATTGATTCCTCATTATACTCTATGGCCGAATCGCCAAATCAGCTCCGAATCTTTTCCAAAGCGATTTGGCCGAATCGAATTGGAAAAACGATTCTGATCTCCAGATCAAATCTCTGGCATCCAAATCGGCCTAACCCAAATCGAATATTTCCCTATTCTCACAGGCCTACTAATTTCCAGTACATTGATGGGAATCTTTTCACTTACGGTGAAAAACAACTGTTATTTTATTCACAGCAGTTCAATTTATCTATGCTTGCCCTGAAGAACCTGAGAATCCCACCACACACATAGACAGGAATAGCATCAGGAACAGCAGGCGCAGCCGGGGTTTTCAAAGGGGCACATGAAGAATAGGCTGCCATCTTTAACTAAAAGTTCATAAGAACTGGATGCTTAATTCCCTTAGATCTTAGTAGCCAAGTCAGATGGCTTGTGTTTGAACTGCGGGTGCTGGATACATACCATACTTATTGGGTTCCTGAGTTTAATGTATTTTGTTGAAAATGTTTCTTGTAGTTTCACTGAATCTTAACCAGAACTCCTCTGGTAACTGGTGTCAATTCAGGAGAAAAAGTGCAGGCCTCCTGAAGAGCTGAGTCAGTCATCTGCAGTATATTGAGCCGTTCTGGTTTTGAAAATAGAAGCCCTGAGTCACTCATGCCTTGCTCCTGTTTCAGGCAGGGGAAACTTCATTCAGATCAGTAACACGGATGCAAACCAGGAGCCCAGAGATGAATCAGCCCCTAGAACCTTTATTGATAATTCTTTCCTTTCTGCCTTCCAGTAGCTACATTATTCCCAGAAACTTCCACTTAGTGCTATAATTAACCTAGCAGGACTAGGACTTCAAGTCCTGCATTTCACATCTTGGGGAGTAAGCAACTTAACGGATCCAAATGATTGTGTCTTAAGTCATTCTGCTGAGCTGCAGTGTCTGTATATGGGTATTTTCCCCCAGTGAATACCCAATAATACCCTAAGCTGTGCCTGTTTTTGTTTTTGCAGATGAATAAAAAGTCTCCTGGTTTCTGCAGTATCACTCCACTCAGTTCGGCAGCAATTTGGGAATTCCTTGGCAGAGTCAAATACAATTCAAACACTGTGGCTTTAATTGAATTATTATTCCAAAGATAAAGCAATCAGCATAATATTAGCTGGGCAAACTATTTTTCATAATTAATATAGTTTCATAGTTAGTAGGGTCGGAAGGGACCTGAGCAGATCATCAAGTCTGACCCCCTGCCATGGCAGGAAAGGGTTCTGGGGTCAAACGACCCCAGCAAGGTGTATATCTAACCTCCTCTTAAAGACCCCCAGGGTAGGAGCCAGCACCACTTCTCTTGGAAGCTGGTTCCAGATCCTAGCTGCCCTGACAGTGAAGTAGCGCCTCCTGATGTCTAATCTGAATTTACCCTTTGCCAGCTTGTAACCGTTATTCCTGGTCACTCCTGGCTGTGCTCGGGGGAACAGAGACTCCCCCAGTGCCTGCTGGTCCCCTCTGACTAGTTTGTAACAGGCCACTAGATCCCCCCTCAGCCTTCTCTTGTGGAGGCTGAACAGGTTCAGGTCCCGTAGCCTCTCCTCGTAGGGCCTGCCCTGCTGCCCCCTGATCATGCAAGTGGCCTCCTCTGGACCCTCTCCATGTTGTCCACATCCCTCCTGAAGTGCGGCACCCAGAACTGGACGCAGTACTCCAGCTGCGGCCTGACCAGTGCCGCATAGAGGGGGAGGTTCACCTCCCTGGACTTGCTTGAGATGCATCTGTGGATGCATGACAAGGTGTGGTTGGCCTTCCTGACTGCATCCCCAAACTGGGGATGATATGATGATAAATAACTTACATTTATTACTTTAACTTATTTTAAATTTTGAGTACACTGCAGATTTTTTTTGGTAGTAGCAGTTTAGGTGAAAAGGGGCTTGTAATGCTCAAAAAACTGCAGCAGCACCTCTGAGCTTTACTACCCAAGCAGTAGTTTAATCTTTTAGCAGTGGGGAAAATATGAACATACAAAAACAGATGTGACTTGAGGAGCTGAGCAGTTTTCCTACCCCAGTAACCCACATCTCCCAGGCGCGGTACTAAGCCATTATAGATCAGTAATTTACATTAGTTCCTTGTGCTGAAAGAACCTACATTAAATAGTTCATGTTCATATTTAAATGAATCATTACGCTTCAGGGTTAACACCTTGCTAACCAGGGCTGTGAATACATCTCAAGAATTATTACTGTATTTTCTTTCATAAAGCACATGCATTTCCCCCCACCCACACACGCACCCAACCAGTCAGGGGAGACTGCCTTGTGCATTATTATTTGGTGGCAGGGGAGCAGTGGCAGCATTAATTGCTGTGGCTCTCAGAGTGGCACAAGGAGCCGTAGCAATTATGATAGCTCCTCTACCAATGCCCCGCTGCCAAATCTTTGGATCCTTGGGGAACCCTGCTGCTGAATAATATCGCCCCATGTGCTGGATAAAGCTGGCGCGTGTATTCAGATCTACAGCTGAACCTGGCATGCAGCCTCAGACCCAGCATGCTGAATTGGTTCCCCTGCACAACCTCAAACCCAGTGCCCAACCTTAAACCTGCTGGGCTGAACTGGGCTGGCAGGCAGGTTGGTCTATGAGCCCCATCCGGTGGATAGGGCTGGCAGCAGGCTAGTTTCTCTACCTGCTGCTATTCAGTTACTTAGAAGAACATTCTTCTGTGTGGTCCCTTTCAAAAAGACAGTGCACGTCATACTCAGGGGTATTCTCTGTATGCAAAAACACAGCATTTCAGGCTATACAATTACAGGTGTAGAAAAACAGGAACATGTAGACAGAGCAACCCTTGGGTAGGGCGAATCAGGGTGACCGCCCTGGGCCCTGCACTTAGGGGGCTCCGTGGAGCCAGGCGAAGCAGCCGTGGGGCCCGCCTGGAGCTGGTGCCTCAGCCCTGCACCACGGAAGAAGCATCCAGCTGCTCACCGCCCCCCACCGCACGCCTCTGGCTTTGTGTCTGGGGCACACGGGATCTGCTTGGTCCTGGGCGCCAAATTTTATTGCTACAGCAGTGCCGTACCCTGCCTTTGCAGGGGTCCCATGGTCCCACACAGTGTTAAAGGGGCCCCGCACAGGCTCGTTTGCCCCGCACCCTCCTTGGGTCGGCTCTGCGCATAGACCACAGGATCAGTCAACTGAATAACTTGGACCAGAGCACTGAGATCCTGATGCTCAGTCCCTGTCTCATCATCAGGCTCAACCCTTGCTGTAATTCAGACTGTTTGTGCCAGTTCCTAATATACTTTTTCAGGATCAGGTTTTCTTGCCTTCATTTTTACCACAATATTTGTATCTGTGGACACTTGAATAATTTTTGTATCTTGAGGGAGACCAGCATGGTGCTATTTGAGAAACCTTGACATAAAGGTTGGATTTAAACGACTGGAAATCAGAGTCTGAACACTTTCCATAACTGTATTGCTCTGTAAATCTGGCTCTTAGTAAAACTCACTGTCCTGACACACTGTTAGCTGCACAGGTGTTGATGGCTTTTGTGTTGTTTCCAGCTTCTGGCAGACAGCTGAGACCAGCAGAGTCTGATGCGGATGCTGACGCTGATGCTGATGCAGAAGAAGATGATTCTGTGAGTTATGTTACCATTAGGTCCTGAAAGCATAAGTAATTGTTTAATTTATTGATTTTTTTTTTTTTAACAAAGATGCTGCTATTAGTATTTCTGTTTTGGGAGATGTTCTGAGATCCAGATCTACCTTCTGATCTTCAGAAATACAGAATCCTAAAGGACAGAACTTGGTATAGTGTAATTTGGCAGTAAAAGTGGAATTCTGAGGTCTAGCGTCTTCTTCTTTATGATTTTTTATTTAAAGCACAATTTATACGGCTTTTCTCCATACTTGAGGTCATTAGAGGGACAAAAATTAGCACTTAAAAAAGGTGTAAAGCAAGTCATCATATCCTCTTGTACTTACTAATTCCTCCCTATTTTGATTGACGTTCTAAAGCATTAAATCAAAAGTTTCCTGTATTCCAAAATTAAAGAAGTTGTAAAAGTATTACCTCTGTCTTCAATGCTCTCTTTTGTTGCTTTCATCCCATTTTTTTGCTTACAGAGGAAGGAACGAATGGCCATTCTGTATCTGATGATACCTGCCAAGAAATTTGGATAACTGTTACTTAACAGTGAAGAGCCCTTGTCCCTCATCCCTTCCATTTCTTTCTTGCAGGTCAATGAAGTGACAATAGAAGACATACGACCAAGGCCACAAGGATCCTCTCCAGTTTACGAATATTCCATAGAAGAAGAATATTTTAACAAAAAGGCAAGACATGCGCCCCAGGGCTACCTGTTACCCTTGGTCCATTGCTGGTGGAAGTTTCATCAGTTTAGAGTCACTAGCAAAAACCCCACTCTCTTAGACTGGGATTTGAACTTACTGTATATAGAATTTACCAACTAGTGTCTCTCATTTTATTGATGAACAAGAGAGCTTTAGGTTAGTTCTGAAATTTGTGTGTGAAGAAAGAGGTATGATAAGCAACATATAACTTTACAGTAAGCAACATACTTATTTTGCTATTCGGCTGTATCCATTAAGCATTAAAAGTTTGTTTCCCCCTGTTTTGTTCCTAATTGGAGCTAGGATAGAGAAGTTCATGACAGTCATAATTTTCTGGAAGATATAAACTTTAAAAAAAAAAGTCTGTCAAGTTTGAGTTTACATATTATAAAGGTTGTAACAAGCGGCAGGTTCTTGCAGGTTGGAACGCAGGTTGTAAGGGGCCCGATTTGAAGGGTGACACCAGGAAGCTCAATGTGCTTGGAGAATTTCAAATGGCTCTAAGTCAGGGGCGGGCAATTATTTTGGGTGGAGGGCCACTTACTAAGTTTCAGCAAGCTATCAAGGGCCGCGTGACATTTTCTAAATTTTTTAGGGGCCTTGTGGGCCAGATAGAATGGCCTGGCGGGCCCCATCCAGCCCGCAGGCTGCACTTCGCCCACCCCTGCTCTAAGCGCACACTGAACCACATGGCTGCAAGCAGCAGCACTGAGCACTT